TCGGGACTCAAAATGGAGCAACTTTCATGTTCGGGTCGAAAGCCGAATCGACTTGGATCAATTTGTTATCAAGCGACGAAAGTGGAGGCAGAAATCAAGACCATACGGCCGCACAGGCAAAATTACATGCGGCCGCACAGCATGATACCGAAAACCAAAAGACCAGCTCAAGTTAAACCATGCAGCCGCATGGGCCAAAAAAATTAGCGATTTTTCTATTTTTGGCAGAATTTCCTAGTTTCGATAGAATTCTTATGGAATCAAATTATTTCCATAATTTGATGGCTTTGAACGTTTTTATTCATTAGTATAATAGGAGAATACCTTTTCATTGTAAAAACTTTTGAACTTTTGACATTGCTTAATAATATAGAGAGAGAATTATTCTTTCGATTTAATTGTTCTTCTTGAACAATCTTAGAACTTATCAAGATTCAACTTCTTGTGGCGTTCTATCAATCGGATTGTGGGTTCTTTCAATTGTAATCAAGGGGTTTTAATTTTTTCGCTAATCTAGGGTTTCTTGGTTCAATTCTTGGGGTTCAAGATCCAAAATCAGGTTAGTATTGGAGTTCTTGGGTTCCGCATCGATCTCGTTGTGGGTTTCGTAGTTTCCATTGCTACGGGGTTCGCATCAATTTGTCTAATACTCTGAACTCTAATCGATTTCTACTTTTTGCATCTGACCTTAAATTAGATTGTTGAATTTCAGAAGTTGATATATATTAATATTTACAATTTACGCTTTGCATGAATCAAAAAGGTTCAAGCAAGTATTGTCATGTAAGTTGATATATCAAGACGTTCATTCTTTGCAATTCGAGCTTTTTATTTTCTTGCATTGTTTACAAACTTCAGTGATTTTTTAATTTATTTTTTTTATAAGCATGTCAGTTAAACTTCATGTACAAAACTTAGGGTATGATGTACCTCTTTTGTTATATCGAGTTTATGATCTCTTTTAAAATATAATTTTTCATTTCTTACTCATATTGATCGAGTTCAATATGTGGGCTTCAATTTCTTGATGCTATATAGTTATATATCTAATTAATATTTTTTAATGTCAGTTCGTTTTAAAAATAAAAAAATTAAAGCATTGTCCATACTCCATAGTAAAATTATAAACTCTAGGATGCCTCGTTTTATGAATTGAACAAAAATTATTAAGAAACAACCATTTACTCTTAAACATTAATTTAATATTTGATGTTTTAATTTTTTTCCCCTTTTTTCTTGATTTTTAGTCTCCGCTATTTCGAGTCATGTAAAGTACGTCGACTTCAACTCCTTAATACTATACAGTTATGTATCCAATTGGCATTTTTTGTATTAGTTTGTCTTAAAGTTCAAAAAGATAAAAAATTAAAGTACTGTCCATAATAAAATTATAAGCTCTAGCATGCCTCATTTTATGGATTGAATAAGGAAAAACCATTTCCTTTTAAACTTTTTTTAAAGTTTTGATATTTCAATTTTTTCCCTCTTTTCGTGATTTTTAGTCTCCACTATTTTGAGTATTGTAGCTAAATTTATTAGCTTCTTGAAGATTTCTTAGCTAAATTTTTGCCTTTGCACAAATATTGTCGAGTAATAGCATGTTAAGTATACATGATATCGAAAGATTATGGATATCTATATGAAAATGTTAGGTATAAATATCTATATGAAAATGTTTATTAAATGTATATGAGGAGA